CTGATTCAAAATGGCCAATGCCAGTCAGTCTCAGCTCACTGATGCCTAGGATACTGATCTTTATGTTTTCCATTTCTTTTTTGACCTCCAATTTTCCTAGGTTCCTACTTTGTACATTTCATGTTATGATTACTAATGGAAGTTTGCAACTGTTTCTTCTTGTTTTGAGTTGTGCCACATCAGTAAATGAAGGTCCTGAAAGCTTTGCTCCATGCATATCATTAAGGTCAACTCCACTTTGAGGAGGCAGCTCTTCTCTAGCCATATTTTGCATGGCTTCCAACCTTGAGGGGCTTATCTTACCCTATACCTAACAGTTTTTCCCTGCTATTCATAATGTTGTCAGTGGCTAATTTTTCGTAAGTAGGATGCCTCTTCCTTCTTCCTAGTCTGTCTTGATCTGGAAGCTCAGTTGAAATCTATCTCCCATGGATGACCCTGCTGATATTTGAAATACAATTTGATGGCATAGCTTCCAGCATCACAGCAACATGCAACCACCACAGTACGACAAACTGGCATACAAGTGGCAGGTTCCAATTTACAGTGACCTTACATGACAAACTAGAACTGCCCTATAGGGTTTCCAAGACTGTAATCTTTACAGAATTAAGCAGTCTGGTGTGAAGTCTTAGTGTGATGCTATAGGATAAGCACTGGACTGATAACTGAAAGATCAGGGTTCAAACCCACAAGTTACTCCTTGGAAATGCTTTACCGGATCCCTATGAGTTGGAATTGAAGGCACTTAATAACATGAATCTTTATAGAAAGGAGCCCTGGTGGCACAGTGGGTTAATCACTGAGCTGCTAACTACACAGCTGGTGATTTCAAACCCACCAGTCACCCCACGGGAAAAAGATGAGGTTGTTTGCTACCTGAAAAATTTATGTTCTCTGACACCCTAAGGGGCAGCTTTACTCTGTCCTATGGGGATGCAATGAGTTACAGTCAACCTGATGAGAGTTTGTTTGGTTTTGGGTTTGAATCTTTACAGAAGTAAATGGCTTCATCTTTCTCCTGTGGAACAGCTGGTGAGATGGAACAGCCGACATTTCAGCGAGCAGTATGAATCTAGGAAAATTGTTCTTAATCACTGCACCACCGGGCTCCTTCCGTAAAGATTGTTGTTGTCAAGTGACATCGAGTTGGTTCCGATTCATAGCGACCTTGTACAGTCCAGGACGTGCTATGGGGCAGTTCTACTGTGTCCTATCGGGTCACTAAGAGTCAGAGTTCACTCAACAGCCTACACCAACAGGCAGTTGAAAGCTACCCAGGAGTGCTTTGGAAGGCAGCCTGGCCATCTGCTTCTGAAAGGTCACAGGTTAAGAACCCTATGGAGCAATTCTACATGGGGTCATTAGGAGTTGGAAGCAACTCAGCAACTAACAGCCCAAACACACACCCTATCCCCTACCCCACCCCCCAGAGTCCCTGGGCAGTCAATATGGTGAAAACACTTGGTTGCTGACCAAAAGGTTGGAGGTTTGAATCCACCCAAAGGTGCTTTGGGAGAAAGATCTGGCAATGTACTGATAAATGAGCCTTTGAAAACTCTGAGCATGGCTCTACTCGGACACACATGTGGTTGTCATGAGTCAAAATTACCTTGAAGGCAGCTGGTTCTAGTAATAGTACCAGTATGTATGCACCCAGCCCCCTAAGGACTTTACATTCAATATCTTATTAAATTAAGTGGACAGCAATGGCTTTCTGGTTTGTAATCAGAGAGGTCCCTTTTGCCAGCCCCATTTCAAAGATAAGGAAACTGAGACTCAGAGAGGTTCAGCAACCTGGCCAAGATCACAACTATAGAAATGATGGAGCAAGAATTCAAACTCAAGGACACAGATTTCAGATCTATGCCCAACACTTCTTAAGGTATTAGTCAGTTCCCAGGCAGTGAAACTCCAGCTGCCCGAAACTCAACCACAGAGAGCTGGCTCACAGCCCCCATGCTGGCTCCCATCTCTCTTTTCAGCCCCACCCTACCACCCTCATTTCCCTCCCTGGCCCAGGGGCCCAGCTCCTTCCCCAAACCTGCTCTGCTACAATTCCTTCCAGGTTCCCTCATCTGTAAAATGGGGATAATAATACTGCTTTTCTCAGAGGGGTGTTGTAAGGATCTGCAGAGATGCTTAAGGTGAAATGCTTGGCACCCAACACATAGTTGTTGTTGTTGTAAAGTGCCGTCCAGTCGGTTCCGACCCATGGTGACCCTGTGTAGGGTTTCCAAGGAGCAGCTAGTGTGGTTGAACCACCAACCTTGCAGTTCAAATGGCTTTGCAGTCTGACGCATTAACCCACAGCGCCATACCAGGATGCCACATAGTAGTTTTCAATAAACATTAGTAATCATCATCAGTGTCACCATTTCAATAACATCTCCAAAGTCCACAGATGGAATGTATGGAGTATAAGTTATGTTATGTGCCAGGGAGTCAGTTCCAACTCATAGCAACCCTGCATAGGGTTTCCGAGGCTGTAATTTTTTACGGGAGCAGAAAGCCTCATCTTTCTCCAGCAGAACAGCTGCTAGTTTCGAACTGCTAACCGTGAGATTAGCAACCCGATTCGTATGTAGTATGAATCTAGGAAAATTGAAAATCACGGAATAATAAAAAATAAATAACTGCGATACTATCCCTATTTGGTGTCTGAAGAATCTGATGTAAGAGAGGTGGGGCAGCTGCCTGTCCAGGGTTGCTCAACTAAGAAACGGAGAGCAGGAATTCGAACTGGGGCCTTCTGACTTTCTGACTTTAGATCTCATTAGTCTCTGCCACTCTCTACTGGATAGGTGAGTGTATCGTATCAACAATATTTATTGTCCATATTCTGTATGTCAAGCCTAGATGCTGAGGAACATCCAAAGAAGGATATGGCCTAGACCCTTCAAAGAGCTTAGAACCTAACTGATAAGTAAGGCATGAAAACAAAGCCTTGGAATTTGAGGCAGAACTTGCTAAAGGTCCACAGATGCTAGAGGCACTTTGACTATGAGAGGAAGAGGCAAGAAGAGATGGCCTCCTGGAGGAGGTGCAAATTATGGTGGGCCTTAAAGGCCCTGTGAGATAAGTAGACTGGAGTGAAGGAGTCTGTATAGTGGAGATAAGGCCAGAGATGTAACAACAGCTGCCAGTTCTCAGGTTCCTATAAGCCAGGCTCTGGGCTTCCCATGCATTATCTCATGAGATTTCCCTACAATCCTATAAGGTGGGTGCTGTTGTTGTTGTTGTTGTTAAGTGCCCACCAGTTGGTTACAACCCTGTATAGGGTTTTTGAGGAGTGACTGGTGAGCTTGAACCACCTACATCGCAGTTCAAACAACTGCAGTCCAGCTCACTAACCCACAGCTCATTAGCCAAACCAGGTGGGTGCTATTAGGGATGAGAAAACCAAAGCTCAGAGAGGCAAGTGTCAGCTGACTTGGAATTCTGCGGCACTTTCTCGAAGTTCTGTCACTTACTATTTGAGCCTCAGCAATGCTAAAAAAAAGAATGTAAAAGTTAATATAAAAAATCAGCAATAAAGGCTTTTGAATAAGAGAAGTAGGCTCTGATGGCAAAAGTATTGTTTTAGGAGAAACTTTGGTGTTAATAAATGCCATTGACTTGGTGGCTCAGACTCATGGTAAGCAGCTGGTAAGTTTGAACCACCAATCTTGTAATTCATAGTCCAATGATTGTCCTACAGCGCCACATCAGGAGAGGTTCAAATATTTATTGAGCATTGGGCCCTGGGAACAAGAAAAACTCTGCATTCTGGACCCCTGTGTCTGCTAAAGGTAGAACAACTTGGCTAGGTAGAGAGGCATCTCTTATTGGAACAAGGACTTTGGAGCCAGACTGCCCCAGATTTCACTGTCAGCTCTGCAAGCCACCAGATTTTGCTGTGTGACCTTGGACAAGTTAACCAGCCTCTCAGACTCCATCTTTATGATGGTGCTCATTGTTCCGCTTTCCAGGATTGTTGGATTAAACAACCAGCTAGGTGCTTGACATACTGTAGGTGCTCTGTAGATGTTAGTTTTCCCCTGAGAAGAGGTATGCTAGGCTCTGAAGTGTTCCCAGAACCAAGAAACGGAACAGGGTCCTGGCTTTCATATCAGAGGGAAGATGGGTATCAATTCATAGATACTAGCTAACCTAGAACACACACTAACAAAAGGTCCTGTGGTCGGAGGAATACATTATTATGTCTGGGTTCAGGTTCGAACTCTATGCCAAAACGCTTTGCTCAGTCTCCGGGAATTCGGGCCATTGGTGCCCTCTTCATGCTCTGGCAGTCTCTGCGCTACTGCTTCCAGGACAGCACTCTCAGCTTTTTTGGCAGCTAGTGCCGGCAGGCACCAAGTGATAGCAGGTGCAGCGGCCCCTTTAAGCAGTAAAGCTCATGGAGTAATCACCGCCAGGAGGACGGGTCCTTTCCGGGGGGTGGAGCCTGTGATTGTTGCAGTGACCAATCGAAGCGCGGCATTTTCCGCGGGAGATCCAAATTTCGCGGCACGCAGTTTGGCGCTAAAAAAAAAAAAAAAAAAAGAAGAAGAAGAAAAAGGAGCAGAGAAAGGCTAGGGGACCAGAGGGCGACCGGGAGAGATTCTGTGCTATCGGCCCCTCCCCATCCCCATCCAAGCGCATCGCATCTCCGCCTAGCTAAGGACGCTCTGAAGTCCCCTCCCCGGAACGGGCCGGCCCCCGGGATCTAAGGCCTTGGGGGCTAGGGGCCATCTCGGGTCGAGGCCGCCCTCGGGGCGGGGCAGCCCCTACCCGTACCGTCCGCGGTCCCGCGATCTCCAAGCGGAGATCTCCAAGCGCAGCTTGCCTCGGCTGCGGGCCAGGAGGGGAGGGTCTGGCCTTGTCCCACAGGCGTCCAGTGGCAGCCTCCCCTGGCCTCTGCGCCATGCCGCGGGCTGAGTAAGCCACTGCGGGCTCCAGAGCCCGCAGGTGCCCACGGGCGCGCCAGGCTCAGGTGGGGAGAGGGCGCTGTGCTCGCCATGCTGCGAGGACCCCGAGCCCTGGCTCCAGCCGCTGCATCAACCCCTAAGGGGCTGCAGGTGATGAGTCCCACCGAGCTGTGGCCTTCTGGCCTCAGCAGCCCCCAGCTCTGCACCACCACCACCACCTACTACACTTCGGTGTACCCGCAGACGGTGTCGTCTTCCGCGGTGCCTGGCACCTGCCTCGATGCCACCCCTCACGGACCAGAGGGCCAAGCTGTACGATGTGTGCCCGCAGGCCGGCTGCCGGTAATGCTGGGGACCCCCACCCCTTCTCCTTATCTTTAACAGAAGTTGGAAGGAGGGTGGGGCACTTGGGACCCAGAGTTTTGAAAGGGGGCAGATTGACTTTCAGGCCTCTAGAATGACCTACTGCCCCCAATGTTCAAGTCGCAGACCTCTTCATTTGTAGATATGGGTAAATGACCTCTATTGGAGTGAAGTGGAATGAGCACTAGATTGGTAGTCTTGAGACCCAGATTATTCTCCCGTGTATTGTGTGACTTTAGGGAAGTCCAGGGCATGATGCTGCTGTCATTCATTCATTCATTCATTGTCTGGCCCAGAAGCCAGCACCAGGCTCCTGCTATTGTCCAGGCATAGGGTTTGGGGATACTGTGGAGACTTTAAAACAGAGACCAGGTCTGATGTATCTCCCCAGTCCAGCCTGCCTTGGACAGATTCCAATTTATTCATTCAGCTATAACTACTTCCCAAGTATCTGCCCTAGGTCCTTCCCCAGGCCCAGCCTTCTCTTCCAGACTGCCAGTAGCAGGTGCAAATTGGGGTGGGGGTAGCTCTCTGGGGTTCCTGTTGAGATTGGCTCTTCCCTCCTCAAACCCCAGGCCTGTTGCCAGGGAGGCCCTAAGCTAGGTGGCATCAGGCTGCCTGCAGACCTCACATTGGGTGTGTTTGTGGGAGTGGAATTCTTGGAGCCCATGGGAATCGAAAGAAGTAAGGGAGGGGGAGGGGTGGGAAAGCCCTGGGGGGCAGGTGGTGGTTGGGGAGCCTGGTTTCTGGTCTTGACTGTGCCACTAACTTGTGGCCTTGGATACATCTAGGCTCCATTTGGGCCTCAGTTTCCTCATCTAGAAAATGTATGCTTGTGTGTGGTAGCTCATTTCAGGTTGCTTCCAGCTCCAGACCCTGGGTTTTGTAAGCAGGTAGGGAATAGGAGTTGGGGGTGTTGCAGGTTTATTTTACAGGTGCAGGGATAAGGCCACTCCCTTCCTGCAAAGGCACCTGGTCATATCTGTGTCAGTCAGCAGGCCCAGCCGCCCAGCCATCTCTAGATGCAGGCAAAGCCCCCATTCCTGCCATCAGTAGCATGCTTTCCGCGTGTCCAGAGGCCCACCCTGCACATTATTTCCCACTAAGTGGAAGGAGGTGCAGGTAGGTTCTATTATCCCCATCTCACAGGACAAGCAAAACGGATAATTGGAAGTAGGTGACTTTCCTGCATTTAGCATTTTATACTCTAAAACTCCTTTTCTTACCCTGTGAAGTAGACAGTGTTATTAGTTCCATGTTACAGGAAGAAACAGGCTCAGAGAAGGCATGTGCCCTGCCCATGGCCACACAGAGGGACAAGATGGAGTGGGAATCAGACCTGAGGTCTCTTGACCCACAAGGCACATGATTACCACCTTGACTTATCCTCCAATTGTCCAACCTACGAGTTGAACTTCACCCCTCCTCTGGGGAAGAGGCTGAGTAGTGGGGCCCAGTCTCTCCTCTGGCCAGCTGTTACTCTGATACCCAGGCAGAGTTTCAGTAACAGCTGTGGTTTTGAACTGCTTTCCTCCCCGAGGAACCCCAGTGCATCTGTCTGCATCTTCCCTCCCGGAGGGACTCAGTGATCTCAGCAAGAATGGCTCTTCTACCGAACACTCTAAGTGCCAGGTGCTGCTTGGCAACCTTTATTTGTTGTCTTTTTCAAGATGTTCAGGTTGAGGTATCTTGCAGATTAGGAAACTGAGCAGAGAAGTAAAGTGACTTGTCCAAGGTCAATAGTCAACAAGTTGAGAGAGGCTCTTTGCATCAGACTACCTAAAAAGTATAATCGATGGGGCCTGAGCACCTCTGTTTGCCCAGAGCCTCCTCTGCTGCCAACCCCAGACTCCCAGCTTCTCAACCCCACAGGCAGGCCTGGGCCCCCTGCTTACTCATTTGACAAGGGTGTGACCTGGAGTTGCTTCAAACCCAACCCTGGGTGTGGCCGCTGGCTTTTGTGGCCAGACTGCAAAGTGCAGGGTGAACAGGATTTGTCAGACCAAACCCACTGCCATCAAGTTGCATCGACTTATAGTGACTCTATACTACCAGCCGCTCCGCGGGAGAAAGATGAGGCTTTCTACTCCCGTAAAGATTTACACCCTCGGAAACCCTGTACAGGGTCGCTATGGGTCGGACCCGACTCGATGGCACTTAAAACAACAACAACAACAACAAGGACAGAGTAGAACCCATGGAGTTTCCAAGGCTGTAAATGTTTATGGAAGCAGATATCTGGTGGGTTCAAATCACCAACATTTCAACTAACAGCAAAGTGCTAACCATTGCCTTCCCCCTCACCCCCCACCCCCACCAAGGCAGGGAGCTGCTGTTTAAAGGGACCTCTGGACAACCAAGTTCAGTGTCAGACCCCAGGGCTCCTTGCTCCTCATCTTCTGGGGAGGCAGGGGAGACAGCTTTGGTGAGTGTTTGCTCTGGATAAGCACACTGTGTTATTCAGTGTCATTCCTGCAGGAACCTGTGACCATGGGGTGCTACTGCACAGTTCTCCTTTCCCTGTAATTCATCTGCATTTTCCAAATTCCCTCTGAGAACCAAGACAGAAAAGAAACACTTTCATAAATACCTCTACAAGGCAACTCAGAGGGAGGTTCAGAGAGGCCAGCCAGCAATTCTCAGGCTGCTCAGCTATGGAATAGCAGAGGCTCCTGACTACTTAGACTTGACTTACCTACCCCCACCCCACCCCACCCTACCCGCACTCTAACTGGCTTAGGAGAGACCTGGCTCCACTCACTGTGTGACCTTGGGCAAGTCACTTCCCTTCTTCGAGCCCGTTTCCTTACCTGTAGAAGGTTGTGTTTGGTGGTCTCTGTTCTTCTGGGGCTGCCTGAGGAAGAGCCTTTACCTCTCTCTGGTGCTTGGAAGGGTGGGGCCCAAATCCTAACCAGACCTGTAACACCCAGCCAAAGGGGCTACCTAAGAGGGTCCAGGTCAGGACCCAGAGGCCTCTGGGTGTGGTTATAGACTTTGCTCTCCTTCAAACTGTCCTGTCTTTCTCTTTTCAGTGCACCCTGAACTTTCCCCTTGCTAGTGCCCCCAAGGCTGCAGTAATAGCAGCTCCTCTGCATGTGCACATAGAACAAAATGCTCTTTTGCATAGCTCACTAAAGGTACACCAGAGATGGGGCCCGTTATCCCCATTGTACAGATGGGGCTCAAGAGGTCAATGACTTGCCCAGCCCACTCACCTAAGAAGGAAGAAGGCCTAAAATGTGAATCTAGGTCATTCTTGCGCCAAAGCCTGTGCCTAGTCTCCTTTGTCCTCATTCTCCTGGGCTTGTCCTCTGGCCCCTCTTGTCTGTCAAGGGCTGGCTTCCTTGGGCAGTGCTCACAAGGATCAGAGAGGTATCCTAGGTAAGGGACACTTTGCGACATAAGTTCCTAGGAGTACAGGATAAAGGGGAGAGGGCTTGTGTGTATACACATGTAAATGAAAGAAGTGAGGAGGGCAGGTGGGCATGGCCAGGGCTTGACTGAAATTCCAGCAAATTCTGGGAAGTGTGTGTAGGATGGGGCTGAGGCATCCTGGTATCTGGCTTTGAAGTCAAACAGACCTGGCTTCAAACCCTGGCTCTGCTCTTTGTGTGACCTTGGACATGTGACTTAACCTCTAAGGTTACTTCTCATTTGCCAAGAGAGATTGACATTCTAAATAACTGTTGTGAACCTATACTGAGCCTGTTGGCTTCTCTCTCCTCCTTCTCTGCCCCCAACAGTCCCCAGCTAATGAGGTTTTTTGGGTGTGTTGTCTCCTGTCCCCTGGAGGAGATATGTGGCATTAGGAAGAGTGGGCTGCCCTGCCTCTGCTTCAAGTAGGCCTTAGCCTGACCGTCCCTTCCTCTTCCTCTTCCTGTCCTTGGTGCTTCTTCTGAAGGATGGGAATAAGGGTCCTATGATGGGCAACCTTGATCAAGAGTGATAAAGGCCTTGGCATTCTTCAAGCCTGTTATACCAGCTCTAAAGTCAGGGCAGTATAGTGATATTGGAAAGGTTCAGTGCGGTGGTAAGTGTTGGGGCTTGGCTCAGAGAACATGGAAGATCCCAGTGAGTTTTGGGGCCAGAGCAAGTCATCCTCCTTAGAACCTAGTACCCTACCAGCTGGGAGAGTGGAACAGGAGTACTCAGGATATGAGCAGGGAGGGGTTTGGATCGTGTCCTGGTCTGGGTTGGAGTGGAGGAGAATTATGTCTAGACTCCTTAAGCCAAAGATCAGGGTTCCTCAGCTTAGCCCAGGAAGACTTCCTGGAAGAGACAGGCCTAGGGAGCTGCCAGCAACAAGAGCTGTTACTGACCTCCACACCTGTCAGCCCAGCTGTGCACAAAAGCAGTTAGAAGTCCCAGCGCTGCCTGGCATGGCCCCACCAGCAAGGGTTAAAATAGGCCTCTGCATCTCAGCCAGGGGAGGAGTCTACATGTTTGGATGACTCGGGAGGGATTCAGGAAGTGGGCTAGGTGTCCCCAAAAGGGTGTGTCAGGAAGAAGCTGAGATTGGGTTTTAGGGAAGGGAGTCAGAATTTCCTGACCACTTAGTGGGTGCTGAGCCACTCCTCAAGTCCTCACAACAGCCTTTGAAGGAGGGATTCTCTGCCCCATTTTGCAAAGGAGGAAACTGAGGCTCCTAGACATGGAACTGTTTGCCCCAGTCATACAATGAGTCCATGAAGGATCTGGGAGATTCAAGCTCAGGGCTCTGACCTGTGTCCTAGTGCCCCAGTGCCCCAGCCCTGTCCCTGCCCAGCCCTAACCAGGAGAGGGTGCTTCCTGGCCAGTGTAGCTTCTAGGGCTAATTGGGGCGGGGTGGAGGGGGGTGGGGAGGAGCAGATGGGTCTGTGGTTTGATTTCCCCAGCAGGTGTTTCCCAAGCACTAGTTGGGGGGGGGGGAGATGTGGTGACATTCAGCTGCTTGCCCTTAAGACGGGGACAGATTCATTGTCTGCCCCTCACAGCAAAGAAAGAATCGCAAAAGGAGTTTATTCAGGAAAGGGCTGAAGCCCTAACTTGGGGGAGATGTTTGCACTGGTTCCCTACATGGGCACCTCCCTGGGGCATGGCACAGAGCCAGGAAGTCCCCTAGGCTTGGGCGGATGCCCAGCCCCACCCTGATAAGGGCCAGCTGTGGGGCTGTGATGGGCACCCAGCCTGGCCTTGCCAGCTGCTTCTGCAGGGGGGCCTCTCCCCAGCCTGATGTGGTTTAGGCCCCACCTCCTCCTTCCTCTCTCTGCCCTCTGGGAGGGAGTAGGGAAGCTGCCTGAGGCCTGTTATTAAGGAACCCAGAGGCCTTGGCCAGACTGACTTTGGTTGGGTCTGAAGTACCTAGGGCTCAGAGCATGAGAGGTGTCTGTCCCTCAGAAAATACAACTTTCTCCCCTAGAAGAGTCACGGGTCAGGTCACTGGTACTTCCAGGGACTGGTGGTAAATGGAGGCATAGGAGGGAGGCTTCTGGTGGCTCCAGGTCAGGGAAAAGCTAAAGGAAGAGTGATTTTCACCCTCTACTTCTCTCTCCAAGGCCAAGAGGAAGCTGGACCTGGAGGGGATTGGGCGGCCTGCAGTCTCTGAATTCCGGACCCCCAAGGGGAAGTGCATTCGAGTGGATGGCCTCCCCAGCCCCAAAAGTAAGCAATGCTGATGAGGCAGCTCAGGGCAGCCTCAGGAGATGAAGGGTGGGTGGGGCTGAGGGCAGCAGCCCTGCCCGATTCATCAGGAGCAATGTGTGTATCACATTTTCCGGTTTACAAAACAGCTTCCTGTGCATTCTCTCACTTGATCCTGTCAGGGAGTCTCATTAGCCCTCTTTGACTGCTAAGGCAACTTGAGACTCAGACAACTTGTCAATAAGACAAGCTCAAAGTCCCAAGAGCTAGTGCACAGAATCGGGACTAGAACCTGGATATGGCTTCTACCACATCATGCTATCACTTTCGTAATCGGAACATCAAGACCCACGTTTCAAGTGGTGGGGGTTACTATTTACAAAATGAGCAATGCTTAAGTGCTTGACTGCTAGCCAAAAGGTCAGCAGTTCAAGCCCACCAGCAGCTCTGTGGGAGAAACGACCCTGTGGGTTAACTGTACAGCCTGGGAAACCCTATGGGGCAGTTCTGCTCTATCCTATGGGGTCATCTGAGTTGGAATCTGTATAGCACACAACAATAATATTTATAAAACGTGTTCACACTTAACCTAATCTGACCTTTTCCAAAAGAGAGGACCTTAACTGAGTCTTTTCCCCACTTAGAGACAGAACTAAATTAGGGAATTTAGAAATGAAACTTAGATTAATCCAATTCACACTACTTCAAAGGTTTTTAAGATCCCAAAGCTGTCAGAGTGGTGTCTACCTAAAGCAGTACTTTAGGGGTTTAGGAGGGAAGGGCTGTCTCGTGACATTTTAGTCAGTAGTTTTGGTCAGAGTGGGCTTTTAGACGACTGGAAGGAAGCCTAGTTTTGAGGACCACAGACCTAATGAGGGAGGTATATGGCTGGGTGGGAAGCATGAGTGTCAGAAATGGGATGACCCAGCTAGGATTCTGTTCCATTCGGACCAGTCACTCCTCTTCTGTAATCCTAGTTGTGTTCTATAAAGTAAGACACAGCTGGATCACCAATGACAAGAAAATTTCTTCTCTAGTTGATTGATATAGGCTGCTGAGAGATCTCTACTGAAGGATCCTAAACCTCATTGTTGTTGTTGTTAAGTGCCGTCGAGTCAATTCCGACCCATAGTGGCCGTGTATAGGGTTCCCGAGGAGCAACTAGTGAGCTTGAACCGCCGACCTTGCAGTTCAAACGGCTTTGCAGTCTGACATTAACCCGTAGCACCACACTAGGACTCCATTGGGCTTGTGAAAAAGAGTACACTGATGAATAGTTAATGTCTGCCATGGGTGTAAAACCTGGCAAAGCAGCCTGTGTGCAAAAACATTTGCCATCTATGTGTTAAAGGATTCTAAAGTCCCCTTCCAGAAGAATCTGAAATTCTCTAAGTCCTAGGTTTCAGAACTAGTTTGGCCACTAACTTGCTATATGATTTGCAAGTCGCTTAGTTGCAAAAGTCCCTTTGTGGTCTAAAATGTGGTAGCTGAGATGTGGTCTTCATTGAGAAAGAGACCTTTTTCACGAACCTGCCTCATTTAATGCTCTAGGCCTGATTCCTCTCAGATAATCATGGGGCGACCTTTAGAAAGAAAAACCAAGTATGTGTCTATAAAAATGTTCTTGATTCCAAGCTTGTCATTCCTTCCATATGTGAATTCCAAACTGCTGACATATAACTAGCAAGATAGGGCAGTGGTTAAGGGGAAGGACTCTTAGATTTTCCACTTCTTAGCTGTATAAACTGAGCAAATTATTTAATCTCTCTGGCCTCATTCTTGATTAAATGGGATGGCTGTGCACTGACCTTATTTATAGGGTTATCATAAAGATTAAGGAGTCCTGGTGTGGTGCTGTGGGATAATGTGCCAGACTGCAAAGCTGTTTGAACTGCAAGGTTGGTGGTTTAAGCTCACCAACTGCTCCTCAGAAACTCTATACAGGGTCACCGTGGGTCATAACCAACTCGGTGGCACTTAAAAACAACAATAAAGAGTAAATATGTTACTATATAGAAAGCTTTTAAAACCTTATCCGGCAGTTTTTGTTTGTCTAGTTTGGGTTTAATAACAGATACTTATTTTCACACAGTTTGAGTTAATATGTGCTGTAAAGCTGATTTTGATTCATAGTGACCCCCACAAAGTAAGCCTTTGCTTATGACTGCCTAAGATATGGTGGAAGGAGTTCTGAATTGGGAGTCAATCCCGATCCTGGCACCTGGCTGTAACAACCTTAAACAATTTCCTCTTCCTGTCTCAGCATCAGATTCCCAAGTCTATAGTGTGGCGAGCAACCCCTGCCCCCACAGTGCTCTGTAAACTTGCAAAGTGGGTGCTCATGTGAAGGATGGTACATAGTGAGTCTAGTTCAATGAAGGAGGGTCCCCTGGCAGACCCTTCTTTAATTGTGCCTGGGTTTCTCTCTCAGCTCCCAAGTCCCCCGGGGAGAAGACACGGTATGATACGTCTCTGGGACTGCTCACCAAGAAGTTTATTTACCTCCTGAGCGAGTCGGAGGATGGGGTCCTGGACCTCAACTGGGCCGCTGAGGTACTGGATGTGCAGAAGCGACGCATCTATGACATCACCAACGTGCTGGAGGGCATCCAGCTCATCCGCAAGAAGGCTAAGAACAACATCCAGTGGGTGTGAGTACTGGGTATATGGACTGGGGGTGGACTCAGGACACTATCCAGTGGGACCAAATATTAGGGAAGGGGCTGAGAGCATTGTCCAATGGACACATACTGGGGGTGGAGCCAGTGTATGGGGGTGTTCGTGGGAAAATAAAGCTACTAGCCTGAGGGATGATAGGGGGAACTGAGAAGTCCTTTTGTGGTGCTGTAGGATAAGCACTAGACTGCTAACCACAAGTTGGCAGTTCCAATCCATCAGCAGCTCCTCGGAAAACCTATGTTGTTATGTGCTTTCGAGTCAGTTCCAACTCAGCGATCCTGTATAACATTTTCTGTAAATCTTTTGCAGGAACAGAGAGCTTCATGTTTCTCTGGTGGAAACCCTATATAGTGTCGTGACTTGACAGCACTTAACAACAACAAGGGGACCTCACATCCTTTATTTGAGTCAAGGATTCCCAAGATTCCCTTCTAGTTTAGGGGAGTCCCCTGAGATGAGCTGGGAGTCGCCTTCTTGTTCTAAGATAAGGGTATTCCCAGACTCCTCTCCCCACTTCTGGAAGGTCTTGAAGAGCAGACCTACAACTACTGGCATGAACCCTAAGCACACAGAGTTCATTTGCAGGAGACTGGGCTATGGGAGGTTCAGGCCCTAACTTGTTTCTTCTCTTTAGCCCAACCCCAGGCTTCAAATTCCAAGCCCTGGAAACTCCCAGAGATCTAAGCAGGACCACTGAGTTACACAACCCTGGGGGTACCATTATAAAGTCGTATGAACAGCCTCGCCCTGGAGTTTAGCTACAGTGCAGCTGTGTGTGCAACAGCCCTGAGGTCGGGGCTCCTGATTGTGGACTGAAACTGACATCGGGGGCTTATTCTGTTCCCAGAGGCAGGGGAATGCTTGAAGACCCCACCGGGTCCGGGAAGCAGCAGCAGTTGGAGCAGGAGCTGGAGGAGCTGAGGAACATGGAGCAGGCCTTGGACCAACTCATCCAGAGCTGCTCTGTGAGCTTTAAGCATCTGACAGAGGACAAGACCAACAAGAGATATCCACTGTGGTTGGGGAAGGGGTGATTCTAGCAAATGCTGCTGGGGTTTGGGAGGTGGGCAGAGAGAGAGCAGGCCCCCATGACCTGTTGCATGCTTATATTTATCCAGAGTTGAATCTGTAGCTTTCTGCAGGGTCTCACCCTAAGGGTGTGGGGCATCTGTTTTCTTCTTTCCTCCGCTTTCCTCTTGAGTCTATTAAAGTTACTTTTTCATTATAAAAATAAGACAAGTGCATTTCTCTAAGTCTGGAAAATAGAGAAAAGGAAGAAATACAGACCTGCTGCTGTAACACAGCCATTGTTCCTTAACTATTCACAGGGGGATGTCATTTAAATATTGTTGTAAAGTACCAAGTCTGTTCTAACTCATAGAGATCCTGTATACAGGGTTTCCAAAGAGTGGCTGGTGGGTTTGAACTGCTGACCTTGCAGTTCAAACTGACCTGTGGTACACCATATAGCCTACTTTTCTCCATTTAAACTATATCCCCATAAAAACTTTTTTATGTTGTTGCATATCCTACAATTATTAGCTTGATCCATAGGAAATTGCTGACATTTTTACCTACACCAAAAATGTATGGTTCAGTCTAATGTTTAAAATGGTTTGAGAATGCCCGATTGAGACTCTGCTCTGGTTTATGGATAAGGCCTATCATGGACATTTTGATTATTTTAGGTTTATAAGCAATTCTGCAAGGAGTATCTATATATGGAGCATTTTTCTATATACTTTTAAATTCAATTAATTTCCTTATGCTGAATTCCTAAGGAGCTCTGGTAGCGTAGTGGTTACGAATCGGGCTGCGAACCTTAAGGTCAGCGGTTCGAAACTACCAGCCGCTCCGCGGGAGAAAGATGAGGCTTTCTGCTCCCATAAAGATTTACACCCTCGGAAACCCTGTACAGGGTCGCTATGGGTCGGAACCGACTCGACGGCACTTAACAACAACAACCATGCTGAATTCCTAGAATTGAAATGAAACCAAAGAGCATGATCTTTATAATAAGTCTTTTGATACATTTTCCCAGAGTTTCTCCATCTAACTGTATTTTGGAACTGTTCTTGTTTTTTTTGAAGGATACCAGACATTGTGAGGAACTTGAAGTAGACATATTTTCTTGTTAATCATCTAGTTTGTGAGAGGCAGTCTTCACATAAAAGACTGATATAAAGCAGCATTTTAAATGACTTACACCCCCACTTTCTAAAGGAATCTGAGATAATCTCTAAGCTGTATGTTGTTGTCGTTAAGTGCCATTGAGTTGGTTCTGACTCATAGTGACTCTGTAGAGGGTTTCCAAGGAGTATCTGGTGGGCTTGAACTGCCGACCTTGTGGTTACAGTCCAGTGCTGATCCTACAGCACCACACCAGGACTCCCTAACCTGTACAAAAAGTGAGAAAGGTGTTTCCTGGCTAAAAGCCCTGCCTGACAGGCTGGGAGATTGTATTCTGATCACATGGTGACTTTTCTTGACTCTCCTGGCCCTACGCTGGCCTATGTGACTTACCAGGACCTCCGGGCTGTTGGCAACTTTAAGGAGCAGACGGTCATCGCTGTCAAGGCCCCTCCGCAGACGAGGCTGGAAGTGCCCGACAGGAGCGAGGTGAGGGAAAACATATGGAAGAGGGTGAAGCTGGGAAATCCTGGGTGGCTTTGCAGGCTCTGTCCCTGACACTGCCCACTGCCCACTGCCTAGCTTCAAGCCTCTTGGGTGCCCATGGCAATATTGGTGGGTAGAAATGGTAGCTCTGGAAAGGGCAACAGAACTCAAGTCCTGGTCTGGGTCTTTCTGTGTCCCATCAACCCCTGAGTTTCTGCACATAAGGGTCCACACATTGGGATGTTGGTACTCAAAGTAATACATCCATTCATGGTAACCGTTGCTCTCTTAGGTGGTTAGTTGCTGTGGAGTTGATTCTGACTCTTGGCGACCCCATGTGTGCAGACTGGAACTGCTCTGAAGGAGTTTTCAAGGCTGAGAGACTTTTTAGATTGCCAGGCTTGTCTTCTGAAGCACTTCTGAGTGGGTTTGAACAGCAAACCTATGGTGGATAGTCAAGAATTTAACTATTTGTGCCATCTAAGGAAGCCTCTCTTAGGTTAAAGACCAATATTCTTAAAGCTCCTTATGAGACCTGTTGTGCTCTGGCCCCGACTGCATCAGCCTTTTCCTCCACTCCAACCCCTTCTGTTTTCTTTGCCACCCTGACCTGCCCACAGTTTTTAACCACTAAACTCATCCCTGTAAGATGGCAGTGGTGGCTCAGTGGTAGAATTCTCACCTTCCATATAGGAGGCCCGGGTTCAATTCCCAGCCAGGGCATCTCAAATACAGTCACCTGTCATCTGTGAGTAGAAGCTTGTGTGATGCTCAACAGGTTTCAGCAGAGTTTCTAGACTAAGACAAACTAGGAAAATAGGCCTGGTGACTTACTTTAGAAAAATCAGCCAATGAAAACCCTATGTGGATCACAGCATTCCGATCCCAATGTACATGGAGTGGCCAGGAGTCAGGCTGCCACTCAGTGGTAGCTAACAACCACCACCAGCTCACCCTCAGTGTAAGACCTTCACCCAGGCTGTTTCCTTTAGCTGAAATGCTCTTCCATCTAACTGCCTGATTTTCTGCTGTTTAGCCTACAAGTCTGAACCTACTTGAACATCACTCCCTCCAGGAAATCTTCCGTGATCACTCCCAGACTTGATAAGAACCTGTGCTTTTCCACTGTCCTTAACCTCCACTTGCTGGAATATATTTGGCTGATTACATTCTACTTCATCTATTAACACCTTAAGAGAATGTTCTGCCCCTAGCCAAAGGCCTGACACGTAAGAATGGCTCAAGAAAGTACTTAATGGAAGAATTAGAGCTGCAGAGATAAATAAGACCCTGCACCTGCCTTGGAGGAGCTCAGGACTTATGGGAAAAAAAGACCCAAGCAAGCTGTGATTCTGTTCATTTATAGATGGAAGATGTGCTTTGAGAGAACAGGGAAAGGACAGTTGGAGGAAGCATCCACAGGTGTGGATAGTTAAACTGGGTCTTTGAGAATGAATAGGATTTGGGCCAGGAGTAATAGAGGTGTGAGAGGGTGCTGGGTGTGTAATAGCATGGAGGCCCGTAGCCTAGTATGGCTTAAGCGTCAGGTTTATGGTTGGGAAGAGGCAAGGGTGAGAAGATCAAGTATCAGGATACTTGGTTACAAATTATAGAAAGCCAAGTCCAACTGACAGAAGCAGGGGAAGGCCAAAAGGAGCCAAATGACAAATGAGAAGATTTGGAGTTTTCAGGCAAGACTGGATTCAGGGGCACAAACTCTGACTTTAATGCCTGCCTCACACTTCTCACTGCTTTCCCTGTGCTGGCTGCATTCTCAGGTGGACTCTCCTCATTTCGGTGGCAGAGGTCGACTTTGTGCTAGCAACTCAGCAGTCCTGCTGGAAAGGCAGCTCCCCTTCTAAAGGTCCCAGGCCAAATGCTTGTTGGACGGGCCTGAGTCACTGTGAGTGACTGCATCACAAGCCCACCCGTTGGGACATGGCTGAGAGGAGGGGAAAGCAGTTTTCCAAAGGAAATTCAAGTCTCTTCCTAAAAGAAGGGGGCCTGGGGCCAGACAGGCTGAAATAGCAGATGTCCACTATAGGCCAGATGAGGTAGACCTCAGAGCCCCAGCTCAAGGCTAGAGCTTGCTCACATGGACCGTGGAAGTCAACTGTGTCTGTATCTACACACCAACACACAGAGTCTTGACCTGTCTTCTCTTTCTCCAGGAGAATCTGCAGATATATCTAAAGAGCACCCAAGGGCCCATTGAAGTCTACCTGTGCCCAGAGGAGGTACAGGAGCCAGACAGCCCTGCCAAAGAGCCGTTTCCCTCCACCTCTAACCTTGACCCCAGCCCTGACTCTGCCCAGTCCAACATCGCTACCAGCCCTGGCATCATGGAACACGAAGCATCTTCAGGTAGGGCCTTCTGTCCAGAAGGATACAAGGTGGGGAGAGTAACCAGTCTTGGCGTTTCCTCTTCTCTGACAACATTTGCTGGGACATATTGCTACCCAGCAGCAAAGGTTAGAGTCATTGTCCTCCACATGTGTAATTGTACTTTGTTGTTGTTGTGGCTGGGTGCTTTCGATCCATAGTGACTCCCCCATTGGGTTTTCTTGGCTGTAACCTTTATGGAAACAGATCACCAGGTCTTTCTCCCGTGGAGCTGCTGTGTGAGTTTGAACTACCAACCTTTCAGTTTACATCTGTGTACTAAGTATTGTGCTACCAGTGTGCTTTGCATTGCGTACTCTATATTTAGAAAATGCCTGCACATTCCTTGTTTCACTATTCCAGGATCAGAAGGCCTGGCTTTAAATCCAGCTCTTCCGCAAGCTGTGTGACTTTGGGCAAGTTACTTAACCTCTCTGTTTCTATTTCCTCATTTGTAAAGGGTATAATAATCTATAGTGATAATACCTGCCTCTTAGGTTGTTGTGAGGATTCAATGAGTTAATATAGATTAAGCATTTAGAACTGGCAGTAGCCGCTAGCTATTATTATCATTGGACTCCCTGGGTGATGCTGATGATTAACATGGTCTCTGCTAACCAAAAGGTTGGAAGTTTGAGTCCACCTGGAGGTGCCATTGAAGAAAGGCCTGGAGATCTACTTCTGAAAAACAGCAATTAAAGACTATGGAGCATAGGTCTACTGTGACACGCAGGTGGCCACCATGAGTTGGAGTTGATTCAGCAGCAACTGGTTTTATTATTATCACTACTGCCACTATTAGTATTGCTAGCACTACTACTAATGCTGCAATTGGCCAAGTACAGGGCACTCAACGTATCCCCAGTAAATAGAGAGCTTTTTTGGAGGGGCAGGGAGGCTTAAGCCTTTCTTGGGAGAGAATAACTAAGGTTGTTTGAACACAACTAAATCTGTCCATTATCCCATTACTCCTAACACCAACTCTTTTATATAAATATATATGTATGTGTATTAGAGTTCTGGTGTGGAGCTGTGGGTTGATGCGCTAGGCTGCAAAGTCTATTTGAATCACAAGGTCAGCGGTTCAAACTCACCAGTTAGTTGCTCCTTAGACACCCTATACAGAGTCGCTATGCATCAGAACTGACTCGACAGCACTTAACAAGAACATTTTTTTCTAAATGATATTTTATTTCATTTTTGGTCAAGGCTATACACAGTTTAGTTTTCCATTCAACAGTTTCTCCACAGATTGTTTGGTGACATTGGTAACATTCTTCACAATGTGTAAGAATCTCATTTTTCTCACAGAAACTCTTGAGATAGATTTTGTCATCTCCAGTGTAGAAATTCATAAACTGAGGCAGGGAGATGATGTGATTTGCCCAGGGTTCCCCAGACAAGAGGTGACAGATCCACATCTGGAATCCTGATCTTCACATTACTAGCCCAACGCTGTCTCCACGGGGTATAGACAAATCAAGGGTGGAGCTCCTGGCTGGGGAGGTGGACCCACACACTGTCATTGAGTCCATTTCAACTCAGAGTTTCTGAGGCTGTAAATCTTTACAAGAGCAAGAAGCTTCATCTTTCTCCTGCAGAGCAGCTGATGGGTTTGAACTGTTGACCTTGTGATTAGCAGTCCAATGTTTATCCTACAGTGCCAACCAGGGCTCCTTAGGGAGATGGACAGTAGGCTTCAAAGTAGCTACACTGGGCAGGAGAGAGTGGAGCAAGGCAGGGAGCAAGGCAGGGAGCAAGGCAGGGAGCAAGGGGTAGAAGAGGTCTCTAGGCATCAGCAAAGGTCAGAGATGGAAGCCCATGAAGGCCCCTCCCTCCACTCTCAGGGTTTCTGTCCTTTACTGGGCACACATATCAAGTTAGAGTGGCCAGACTCTTTAGGCCATGCAGGCTACCTTTTGTTTTCTTAAAATTCCCTCTGGTAGAACTTGAGCCTCTAAATAAAGGCAGAGCTAGAACTGTCTGATGAAAGAGGCTTGGAAGGCGGCTTCAGAACACAGGCCAGATTCCATTTTTCTAACTCACAGGTCAACAAACTTGCCTGAAGGCTTGTTTCTACAGGCCCATTAGCCAAAAATGGTTTTCACATTTTTAAGAATTGTTGAACAAAACAAAATGACGACTATGTGACAGAGACCATAAGTGGCCCACAAAACCTAAAATACTATTTGGCCCTTTTAGAAGGAGTTTGCTGATCCCTGATCTAACTCAACCCATCATCATTTTTATACATGAGTAAACTGAGACCCAGAGAGGGCAGGTGGCTTCCTTAAGGTCACACAGCAAGTTGATGGCAGAGCTGAGACAGAGCCCAATCTAAGGACTCTTCTCTGGTGATTTTCCCTGTGTCTGTCAGCCTCACCAGACTCTCCCAGCAAGACCTCTTCCCACACTGGCCATCTGTTCCTCTGGGCACCTCCCCAGTGCCTATCTCCCACCCCAGACCTGCACCCCACCCTTCTCCCTCCTTTTCCTGCTCTGCCTTCTAACTTGACTGTCAACATGTGCACAGCCCTCTAAAGTTAGAACCCTTTAATTTCAGCTGTCCAGAGGCATTGGTGGAGGTGAGGGACCCCATGTGTAAGCAAGGGCAGGGCTTTCACCTCCATTTTGCAGAACTGGAACCTGAGGCCTCAGAGCAGTCAGCGGTGGGACCAGCTGTCCTCGTGGCCACGTCAGGGCTTGTACTGCCCTCTGCCTTTGCTATGTGGTCTCATAGTGTCCAATGAGGGAGGGAGGAAAGACTCACACAAACACCCATGCTCCATGGTCTGGCCTGAAGTATAGTCAAGGTCTGAGCACTCCCAGAGGAAGCCACTGGTGTCCCAGAATCTGGTTCTGACCCTCTTTTTGGCATCAAGGGGAATCACTAATGTTTTAGGGCCTCAGTTTCCCTCATCTGTAGTAGAAGGCGTTTGGACAAGAGTCCTCTCTGACATCCCTTCAGGCTGACATTCTGAGTTGAACCTAAGTGTAACCACCAGGACATGAAACTTGAAATTGGAAGACTTGGGTTCGAATTTGTCCCTCACCTCGTAGTGACTTTGTGGCTGTGAGCAGACCACTTTCACCTTTCTGAGCCTCTGTTTTTACTTCTCTAAAAGACATTTAAACTTCCTTTCTGATTATTGGGGGTTGGGGGAAGGCTACTGGAGATAATGTGATGTGAATGTGATTTTTGGAAAAGCTAGTGTAAATTGAGTATCACCTGTATGTCAGACCTCATGCCAGGTATTGGAGATACAAAGTTGAATAAGACGTAGCCCTGCCATCAAGAGGTGTTCTGACATGGGCCCGATGCTCTGTTTTAATAAGCATAAGCTATATTTGAAAAAAAGATCTCTGGGCATCATTAAGGAGCTCAGGTAGCGTAGTGGTTACAAATCAGGCCGTGAACCACAAGGTCAGCAGTTCGAAACTACCAGCTGCTCCACGGGAGAAGGATGAGGCTTTCTGCTCCCGTAAAGATTTACAGCCTCGGAAACCCTGTACAGGGTCACTATGAGTCGGAACCGACTCCACAGCACTTAACAACAACAACAATGGGCATCATTTGTTCAGCAGCATGTGTTCACTTCATGTCTCTGTGTCATGTTTTGGTAATTCTCACAATATTTCCAGCTTTTTCATAATGATGTTGCACACTTAATAGGCTACATATAGCACAAACATAACTTTTAGATGCACCGGAAAACCAAAAATTCATGTGACTAGCTTTATTGCAGTGGTCTGGAACTGACCCTGCAGTCTCTCTGAGGTATGCCTGCATACTATGTTACTAATTTTTATTTGATAATGCAAATGATTTCCATATTGTGAATTAGTTTTGATTGTTCTAGAACCTCATATAAATGGAGTCATACAGTGTATATATTTTTGTGTAAAGCTTTTTGATTCATTTTTTTGCTTTTTTTCATTTGAGATTCATCAGTGTTTTAATGTTATTTAGTAATTTATTCCTTTTCATTGCTGAATAATCTTTTCTTGTATTTGTACACTACCAGTTGTTCCTCCATTCTTCTATTGAGTGGCACCTGGGCTTTTTCTGGGGTTAGTTATTAAAAATAAAGTTGCTGTCATTATTCCTTTACAAAAAAAAAAAGTGTGGTGATGAGGCAGCTGTAACAGAACAATTCTATTTGGCTATGATAAGCAGCAACCAGGAGAGCAAGGTCCATGTATAGTCGAGGCCTCTGGATGTGTTAGCTCACTGGTACCCGCAACGCAGTGAGGTGGATCCTTCTTTTTCCTGACGAGACGATGGATGCGTGGGGTCCTACAGCCAGTGAGAGAGAGGCAGGGCCAGGGTCTGAACCCACAACCTTCTCTCTCCAGAGTCTTGTTTCATTCAATCACACTGGCATGCCTTCCCAATGTGCTAAACAAATGTACGTCAAGCTGTTGGTTTTTTAATTCAAATATAGTTAATTGACTTCTTTGGGCCTCAGTTTCCTCATCTGTAAATAGGGGTAACAGCATTGCCTACTCTGGGGCTGCTTGAGTGTCTAAGGAGGTGGAACATGCCTCAACTTGAGAGCAGACTGGGCCTGTGGTAAGCCCTTAGTAATGAAGGCTGTTCTTATTAATAAGAGCAGCATGCTGGACCTAGCATGAGATTTCTGTGGAACTGCTATTTTATATGTTTATTTATCACTTCATTCTCTTAACGACCAGTTAAGGCAGAGTTATATCACCCATTTTAAAGGTGAGGAAACAGAGACTCCGAAAAAGTGATTTGCCCATAGTCACACAATGAGTAGAGAGTCCTGGTATAGTGCTGAAAGATTAGCACTTTACCTCTATGTCTGTTTGAACCACAAGGTTGGCAGTTTAAACTCGCCAGCTGCTCCTCAGAAACCCTATAGAATCACTATGGGTTGGAACTGGCTCGATGGCACTTAACAACAACAACAAACATTATGAGTAAGAAGTTGATTGAGCAGCTGGGCACAGCAGAGCCAATATTTTCACAAAGAGGCTTGGTTGGGGTTGAAGGAATAACTCAGAAGGTGGGATTCCAGGATATAATTGGATATGTCAGGGTAGATTTGGTGGGGTGTTTCCTGCCCCTGTGTAGGAAATCACCTTCTTACCTCTCAGTAGGAATGAACTGGTACCAGTGTGTCTAGGGTAGCATGGACTGTGGGTGGAATGGTAGGCAGAGACCAGATCACCCAGAGCCATCTCAACCCCAGCAGGAACTTGGGATTTTATTCTAGGCCAATGGGATGACATTAGGACTTTGAAAGTTAAATTAGGACACAGATTGTTAGGGGCAAGTGTTGAAGCAAGGTGACCACTGAGGAGGCTCCTGCAGTGGTCCAGATGAGCAAGGAAAGGCGTTTGTTCGGACCAGGACTGCACCCCAGGATCTAAAGGGAAATGGGGATCTTGAGAATTCATTTGGTCTGGGGTGACTGAACTTGCTGCTGGATTGAATGTGGAGGATATAATGGAATTATGAGTGATTCTTGGGCCTTTTGACTTGGGTAACTGATTGAGTAGTAGTTTTGTTAAGTCGTGGGCGTGTCCTAGTACCGTTATGTTGGACGGGTCAAGGAGAAAGGAAGGGACACTGTAGTTCAGAGAGGGGGATTGTTGATCTTGCATGCTGAGGTTTGATCCTGGCATAGAGTAGTGCCCAAAGAAGTTTGGGCATCAGAACCAAATGTGACCCTTGGCTGTTTGTCTCCAGCGCCAGCAACGACTCCCCAGCACGTCCTGCAGTCACCCCTTGTCCCCCTGGAGGCCACTGACAACATGTTGGATCTGCCACACCCACTTCTGCAGCAGACTGAAGACCAGTTCCTGTCCCCGACGCTGGCATGCAGCTCCCCCTTGATCAGCTTCTCCCCACCCTTGGATCAGGATGATTACCTGTGGGGCTTGGATGGGGGCGAGGGCATCAGCGACCTCTTCGACTCCTATGATCTTGGAGACCTGTTGGTTAACTGAGGGGCCTTGCCTCCCTCCCACAGCCCTGCCTCCTCTCTCTACCTCCACTTGACAGACTGACAGACTCTCTGCCCTCACAGGGACATTGGACATGAGGTGCTGCCCTGAGGGTATGGGGTTCTCCTCTCCTTTCCCACACCCTCTAGTTGGCGGAAGCTGTCAGGGAGATTTGGAGGATATGGGTGAGGAGTGTCAGGGGTTGGGTTCTGTCCTTCCTAATAGGAGATGGGTCTGGGGAGGCACATCTAGTCTTCTGACCTCAGACCTCCTATGTGTAGGGCCACAGGTGAGGAGAACAGGTCCAGGAAAAGGCCCTCCCCGTTCCTTCTGAGAGGTAGTCAGGACCCTCAATTGATCAAGAAGCACTTAATGCCTTTGTATTTATTTCAGGTTGAGTTTTGTTTGTCTTCCCTGAGTTTTAGCAGGGAGATTGTTCCAGTTCTAGTAAGACTTCTCCTCAGACAGATACCCAGCACTGTCTGCAGTCCAAGGGTTGGTCTGGGCTTCCAGAGCCCCAGGCCAACTCAGATTTCTCCTCAGCAGTGAGGGGCTAGGTCTCTGAAGGGCCTTCTAGTCTGCCACAGCTCTAATTGCACTTAGGCCTCAACATTCTAGTAAGTGGTGGGTGGCTGCAGGCCCTTTGACTTCCTGTTCTCAGCTTGTCTCCAGCCAAGGCACCAGTTGAAGTCTAGGTCTCTTCTGTCTCAGAAATGGTTCCTGGAAGCCCTTCAAAGCCAGGGGGTGTCAAGACTCCTGAGGTGTCTCTGAGGCTAAGCAAGCAGCCAGTTAAGGAGTCCCCTTCCTATGGAATTGCTAACATCTCCTTCCCCTGAGAATAAAAATGATCCCCTGGGGAGTCAGCTTTCAAGTCAGCCCTATAACCCAGGAATGGTCAGCAGGTCATAGATAACCCTATTTCTGAGGAGAACCCAGACAGAAATATAGAAGCAGCTGTACTGGCTGCTGTGGGCAGCTCTCCTCGGAGTTTTTACCTTGTCTTGGTACTGAGGTTGTTTTACACCAAGGACCTGTGGGACAGAAGTGGCTCTGCCACAGAGAAGGAAGAGGTTGGGATAAGGTGCTTTGGTGAAAGAAACTCTACCCCAAAGCATTCCCTCTAGTAACTTTTGGTATTGTCCCCACACCCTTCCATGGGAGGATTTTTTTGTCACATTGGTTACACAGGGTGGCTCTTTAATGACTACCACCCTCTTAGCTTTAACACAGACTGCTAAGGACAAGTGACCAGGGCTTGGTGGCATGTTGGCTCCTCTGTTTCTGTCAAAAGAATGCTGAGAGGGTGACAGGGAGGGGTCTTCACTGTGGATCAGGCCTTGGCAGCTAGTGGGGCGGTGAGCTCATGTTACCCATTCAGGCTTGGGGTCTTGAGGGATTTTTAGCTTCATCTCATACCTCAGAGGCTAGACTGTCCTGTACTGTTTCCTCCCTAACCCCCAGCCTGGGCTGAACCAAGGCCATCCTTCTGGAAAGAGGCAGCCAGGAGCGGTGGTCTGAGAGCCCACACCTCCTATCCTCAGGGAGCTACGTTTCCTCAGGGCCTCAGTTGGGCAGCACTTTCTTAAAAGTTTGTAGCATTAAGTTGGTTTAAAATGTGAAATTGGCCTTTGTGTTGACTGCTCTAAAGCTGACTTACTGGTATCTGAAGTTCGGAGCATGGGCTTGTTTGAGGCCCTGTGTGAGCTATGCCCAATTAGGGATAACTGTACCTTGTCATTTGCTCAGCTTCTGAGCTGCCAAGTTAGCCCCCAGCCCAGTTTTGTGTGCTTTAAAGGAATGCCTTCAGTCTTCCCTCCTGGAGTGTTCACAGAGGTCTCTTCAGAAGCCTAGCTTAAACCCCAGCATGCCCAGGCCAAGGGACCACCACCTTGGTGTGGGTGGGGTGCTGTGTGTGGTCTGGTTCAGGACAGTGGATCATGCTGTTTTCTGAGGTCTTTGTTGGGCAGCCATTTGACCAGTTGTCTGAGGAAAGAGATGTTTGACTTCCTTGCCGTGGGCTCTGCCTAAAGCTACGTCCTAGAATTGAATTAGAGAAAAGAAAGAAGGGGCCTATAGGGCGTAGTGGAAATGCAGTTAATGCTGAGGTTTGGAAGCATTAAAGCTAATTCCCCAAATGCTCAGCCTTATGGCTGGACATAGGAGCTGCCCCTTGACTGCAAGGCCTATATCCTGAGCAATAGCCCAGCTCCATACTGTGTTATCCCCTTCACAGACTGCCCAGCCAAAGGGCTGGACCACCTAGGTCAAGCCTCAGACTCAGCATAAGAAACAAGCTTGTGCCTTTCTTGCCAGTAACTCTTGAAACCCCCAATTCCATAGAGTGCTTTAAGAAAGCCATTTTGTGTGGTATTTCCTTTAGGACCAGGTAAGCTTTAAAACCAGGGCAGAAGAAAAGCCAGTTTTTTTCCAAGGTACATGATTCCTGCCAGGAAATTTCCATGCCCCACCAACAGCTCTTGAGTTGCCCAGAGCCATCAAAGATTCAGAGACTCCAGGGCACCCAGTACCATTAAGTTGTCCAGTAGAATTGGAGCTTCGAAGAAACATCTTAAAAAGCAGGGGACATGTTCCCGAGTCTCTTCCCGTTAAAGGCATTAGAATGGCAGTTGGGAACTCTGTCCCTGCTCTGGGAGAATATGGCTGCAGGGAAAAGAGGGAGATGGTGAAGTTCCTCAAACTTGCTTTCGACTGCTTGGACTGTGTTTTCCCTCCCCTAGTGTTCTCAGCCTCAAGTTCTGTGCTTAGAAGTTTTAGTGAAAGAATTTGTTTTTTTCTAGCATCCGAGCATTGTGTGGCTTAGCGCGTTTGAAGTGAAAACCTTTTGTGAGTTGTTGGAGAGTAGTTTTCTGGTTCTTGTCATTATGTCCCTACCTCATCTCAGGACCCTGTCCTCCCATGAGGACCTTCTTCAACCAATGTGGCCACAAGTCCCCCAGACTGTTGGCTCCTGACTAAGACAAGGAAGCCTTGTATGCAGCACACTTGTCTTGAGGGTGAGTGGGGCCCAAGGGCACTTGGTCCCTATGTTGGGACTCTGTCCAGGCTGTTGCTCTCCGCTTTGGTTTCAGCCTAGGTCCTGCTGTGAGGAGTACTGTGTAAGCCTCATGGGGTTGTAATGATTGGGCATTAAATATCAACTTGGCACTGCGTCTTGGTTGTGCTTTAAACTTGTTACTAACTATGGGTCTGGTTTGTCCAAAATAGCCTCCCTTTCCCAACACTGACTTATGGCCATGCCTGAAAATGTCACCATCAAGACACTGAAAAGTTAGCACCATCAAGATCTAAAATATGAGGACCTGCTCTGTTTTGCCTCCATCACCTCTCACCTGAGCTATTTCAACTGTTGCTAGTTGTCACGTTGACCTTGAACTTGGGACAACCCCAAGTACCCTCAAACCAGACTGCCTGGTCCTGTGCCGTCCTCATGATCGGTTGCAGATTGGACTGTTGGGATCCAATCCAGGGTTTTCACTGACTGATTTTCTGAAGTAGATAACCAGGTCTTTCTTTCTGGTTCTGCTTAGTCTGGAAGCACCTAAAACCTGTTTTGCAACCCAGCTACATGCAAGCCTCTGCTGGCAGACAGGTGGTGGCTGCACATTGGCTGGGGTTCAAATTTTGGAAGACAAAAATTCTACTAAACCACAACGCCCTCTGGGTTACTTCAGTTGCCTCCTTCATATTCTCACCACTACATGTCCTTCTCCACCCCAACCTCTACAGCAGTGCTTCTAAAAGTGTAGTCCTCTGACCAGCAGTTCAGTGTCACTTGGAAACTTGCTAGAAATGCAGGGTCTCAGGCCTGGTCTGCAACCTGCTGAACCCCAAAGTGGAGATTGGACCCAGGAAGTAGTGTGTAATAAGCCTTCCAGGTGATTCTGAGGTGGCTGAAGTTACAACACCCATCTTTCACTATCTCCAAGAGCTCACTAAAACGCCTATCTGTGGCTCCCCTCTGTCCTCAGGATGAAGTTCTAACCCCTGTGCTTGTCATAAAAGCCCTTTTACAACCTAGTGTGCCCTACCTTCCCAGCTTCACTGACTCTCCCATGCCATCCCCTCAGCCACCCTGAAATTTCTCAGTTTCTGACAGCAGCAGCATTTGCCTCTTCTGGGCCTTTACACAAGCTGTTGACTCTGCCTGGGATGTCTATCCTTCCCTCTAGTTCAGCGGAGCAGACTCCTACTTATTCTTCAAGAGCCTTTTCTGTAGAGTTGTCCCTGACCTACTTGGTTATCAACATTAGTACCAAACCGATTGCTGTTGAATTGATTCCAACTCAATTGAGGAATAGAGTATAATTCCCTAGGATGTCCAAAGCTGTATGTATGTATGTATGTATGTATGTGTATATATATATATATATATATATATATATAAAGTTTTTATTGTGAATTGAGTGAAAGTTTATAGGGCAGATCATCATCCCCACCATGTTCCATCAGTTAATAGTATTTCTCTCTACTCATTTTAGCTCTCTCTCTCTCTCTTTTTTTTTTTTTAAACATTCAGGCATATATAATAATTTACAGCACCAAAGGGCACATTCTGCAAGTCTGTCTCCTGGCCGCCAGCTCCTAGTCCCTCTCTTTCCATGAATTTAGAGTTTTCAGCTGCTCCCTCTCTCCATATCCCCATCTCTGCCTCCATCTCTGGTGTCGCTGCTTCTCTGGATAAGGTCCCACATTCTACTCGTGCTCTTCTCCCTTGATGGCCCTAGAGTCCTCTGTTTCTGGACTGTAAGATTAACTACTCCCCTGTTTTTGTGCCAAAACTTCTACTTTTACAATCGTGACAGTCATAATTAGTCATGATAACAATTACTTACTATTGAATCAAAAGAATCTTATCCCCATCTCTTTTTATCAAACCCATCTAGACAAGATGAAACTATTCAGTGGGAAGGCTGTAAATCTTTACAGAAGCAGACTGCCCCATCTTTCCCCCATGGAGCAGCTGGTAGATTTGAATCACTGAG